TGGTGTGCCTTCAAGTCCGGCAGATCGACAGCAAGGTGGCCACTGTGCTGATGACAGGCACGGCGGAGCTCTTCGGGTTCATCGGCCCTCTCATCATTATTTTATTCTGTACTTGGAAAACAAAAGACTCTCTTCGGGGCTTCCAGATACCGCTCCAAAACAGCAGCGAGAGGCGGAAGGCTTTAAGGATGGTTTCTATGTGTGCCATTGTGTTTTGCGTGTGTTTTGCACCATACCACATCAACTTCTTTTTCTACATGTTGGTGAAAGAAAATGTCATTACAGACTGCTTCCTGAGTACCATCACGCTCTACGCCCAGCCCTTTTGCTTAAGTCTTGCGAGTTTGGACTGCTGTTTGGATCCAATCCTGTATTTCTTTATGACTTCAGAGTTTCAGGATCAGATATCAAGGCACAGCAGCATGGTCATCAGGAGTCGGCTCATGAGCAAAGAGAGTGCCTCATCAATTAAGGAATGACAGGAAAGCCAGCTTAAAAGAATTAAGATATTTCATATGAAATCTGGGACTGTTCTGTGATACTCGATTACCAACTCTGTTGTAGAAGATCCTGCAAGTTTATTCGGGGGAGTTTTGTGGCAGCGGAAATCTTTCAACAGATAGAAGATAAAACTCTGTTTAAGACCAATGTGTTGGGAGCTGATGAGCGACCCAACTGGCGTGACTACACCTACCGCTGTGCCATCCGCGCCTGACCTAGCTGGACTAGAGAATATACAGGAGGGAGCGACAAAGCTTTTGCTAGGAAATGGTGGAAACATCCCGGGAGCTTTTCTTCTATTTTCCCAACTTCATGGCTCTATGATCACACCAAAGACAATCCCACGTCCATACACTGACATCCACTGAAATATCTTCTCTGCTAAAAACACACAACGCATACAAGAACCCGAAAATGGCCGTAATAATAAATGGCAGTTTTGGTCTCCGCACTCAGGGCTGCAGACACGTGAAGGTTGGCAGCTTGCTTCAGCACGGCAGCCCCGGCTTTGAGTGCATCCCACTGGTCACCACACTTCTGCTTCACCTTTCCCTCGCTCCCCCTCCTGCTCTTGTTCATTTCCTCCTCACCCAGCTCTAAGTTTGCTCCTTAATCGCTGATGCATCCCGTAACTTGCACCTACAGCTGGTGCAAGACCCTCTGCAGGACAAATTCTCCTGATGGCTCCTCAAACACTCCAGAGAATGGGACCTTCCCTTGCTCCGAGTGACTTTCTTCCCCTCCGAGCTGCCCCTGGGGACAAGGGGGGCATCAGCACGTGGCCTTTGCCTTTGGACCCCGAGGGCCAGGACCACCGGGAGCGCGCCACGGGCTGGGCGCAGCCGGACTCAGCATCGGTGCAGGTAGATTTGAGGATGCTGGTGGTACCGTTCAGGTCCTCGCTCTCTTCTGCGTGTGGGTTCTTCGCCTCAGAGGTAACTGCGATGGATCCGCCCCATGAAATCTCTGCTCAATGGGTTCAATTGGCACAATTTTTAGAGAGAGAGGTGTCCTTGCCAAGGTGATTTCACTAACTGAGCATAGGCTAATTTCTTAAGTAAATTATTCATTGTGATTTTTTTCCACCAGCTCCTCTCTTGATCTTAATGGTTCCATTTTTATAACTTCTTCGGCTATAAAGATATGAAAAGCAGTGACAGGAAAGGATGCCATTTACCCCTTATTTTAAATTAGCGACAGCTCTTCAGCCAAGTTCATCCACTTTGTGTAGCTTCAAGGGTATCCTCGTGATACCTGGGGATTGTTTTGGCTGAACACAGGCGCTGATTTTATTGCCTTTGAAAACCTGTGTTTTTTCAAAAGGAACGCGTACAATTCTCAGTAAGCACCAGTGCCAGCATCTTACATGTTGCTAAAAAATAGAAGAAATACCAGAAATACTTGCTAAGTATATTTTAAATCTAACTACTCAATTCCCCTTAATTACATTTTAACTCGGCCAAAAGTTTTCTGCATGTTGTGTTTTCCCACTTGACTGTTTTACAATAAAATGGGAAAAAGCAAACAATAGCCAGGTTTAAATAACCGTTACACTCGAGTTCCTCTAAAAGGCAGCGAAGACATACTGATTAAATACAATAAGCTCTTGTAGTTCTCCTCCCATTTGTGAGAAGATGATTATGGGCTACAGTACGATGAACTTAATCTTACATGTAGATAAGTGAAAATACCAAAATATGCCTATCTGAAGGAAGTAACTTTCACAGAGAGAGTATTATTGCAGGCTTCTGGTGAGAAAGCTGCAGAGTAGGCAAACAGTCCCTCTCCCACTGAAGTCAATGGAAATGTCTTCTCTGATTTAACCGGCAGTTTGTTACGCCGGTGATATACGTACACGTTTACACACTGCAAGTAGTCGCCTTAAAAATGAGAGCAGAGGTTGGTGCTCAGGTATGCAGTTAAGCATGCAAAATGAAATTTTTGTCAGTTTAGCAGTTTTCTCATAAGCTAGACACTGTATAATATTGTCAGTGAAGGAGACGTTAGTTTCAATGGTTGTTTTGAGGATTTTTATGGACCTTGATCAGCTGGCACGTGACTAGGAGCTGTTTACTGTGGTTTCTTTCTCATAGAATTCTCCATTTATCAGGTGAAAACAAACTGAAGGCACTGTTATGGTAACTATGTAGCTTGCCCTACATTTTTCTTTCCAAAAACTGATGCTTAAAAAATAAACATATTTTTGCAAACATAAGCCGAGTTTCGTAATTATCACTTATACCTAGAAAACTGAATGGGATCAGCTCCTCCTTGAATCAAAGGGTTCAAGCGATGGAGTGCATCAACTTTTGTTATTCTTAAACAGATTGCTTGCTCGTCTACAGAAAGGTTTTCACCATTCTAATATGACTGGTGTTTATTTATTTATTTGTCTTAACTACAACACTTACATTGGATTTAGAGGTATTTTGGGGAGAGAAAGGTCCTTCGTGGGAATAGCTGTGCTGCGGGTGATACGTGACCGGGTGAGGAGGAGTGACTGCTATCATCCTTACATGCAGGCAGGACTGCAGAAATCATCTCTCTATATCTCATCCAACAATCATTTTGCAGATCCAAATCTATATGGCTTAAAAAAAGCATTCACATCATGTATGGCAAGATTGGTAAAGCAGAAATGGGTAACAATTGTCCCCTACGTACTGAAAGTTGTAACGTGAACCTGGCAGCATCTGAAAGTCCAAAGAGCGATGGTGGCTCTCCCACCCTTAACCTTAACAAGGAATTTGGTGGCTCCATGAGGGATAACATTCCCCGCCACCACGATGGCATCCCCAAGCACCTCGGCTGCTCACGCTCTCCCCCCTGTCTTCCTGCCTCACTCAGCTCTCTGAATTCCCTTAGACCGCCCCAAAATGGTCTTTTACATACTGCAGCCCCAGCCTGTGAGGAAAAGTCAGACGCTCAACACTTTCAGCCTTTCAAGTCAAGTCACTTTGATGTGCAGGAGGTTAGACAACCTGGTCTAATGGTCTCTTCTGGTGCGTGGGACAGCATACTGGTTTTGGCTGGGATCGAGTTAAGTCAGCTGTGTGGTGCTTAGTTGCTGGATGGGGTCAGACCACAACAGAAAGTTAGCCAAGATGGTCATGATGGTGAGCTAGCCTAGAAAGCAACAATTCAAAGTAAAAAGAGATCAAGGAAAACTTGGAATTTTCTGAAAGCATGTCAAAAGTCAAAGACTGTCAGTTTGGCCTCCACAAACCCATATGTGAAATTCAAAGCTTTTAGTTTAAGTCCTTCAAAACCTCAGCAGTGTCTCAAGAGACGAATAGACAAATCCAGCGTTACCGTCGAGGAGGACAGTACTTCGGCTGCCTTCTTGGCTGGGAGGTGCTGGATCCGACACAAGACCCGGGGCTGCAGGTACTGGCTTTGCCTGCCAGCGCTCTCACACTTTGAAAGGCACAATGTGCCCAGCTCCGGTTCCTGTAATTCACCCCATTTCCTGTGACCATAAAACATGTTTATTATTTTGACAAGAGGAAATATAATTTCATGATGTTGCTCCTGGATTATCTCTTGTGCTGGTCCCACTGCCTGGACTCACCAGCTATAAAAAGATGACATTTTCATCCTTCTTGGGCAGACACAAAAAAAAAGGTCTTTCAACAGAGATGCCACAGAAAGGCAGAAGTTAACCAAGTCAGGAGGCTGGCTACAGCTATGCAGGTTTGTGAAGGATGGATCTGAAGGGCTCCGCTGGCACCTGGTGCTGGAGCAACCCTCCATCAAGCCCCACCCCGAAGGGAACTGCTCAGGCTGGAAACATGGTGAGGTCTCCAAGCCGCCTGCACCGACGGCAGTGCATGTCCCCCGACGGCACGGCCCTGGGCAAAACCACGGCATGACACATTCTCCTTCTCTAGCACATGAGCCATTCACCTGTTAGCAAAAGAAAATGTGTTTCTTTGCAGTGCCAGCAAATGGCCGCCCCACCTTAACTGGTATCAGAGGTCTGGTAATTCTTCTCCTGCTTGAGAAAGGGCCCTCCCGTGCTTGACAGCAAACGTATTTGGAAAGAAACCCCATAGGATTTAATGCCTTTCTGCAGCCTCAGGTTCTGAGCTGCAGGATCTTGCGAGTACCTCAGCTTCATTTTTTTTCCTTAAATGAAATTACCAGCTCTCTGTGCAGAGAAAAAACAAAATATGCTGTAAATGCAGGACAACAGCTCAAAAACTAGGAGCCAGCTCAAAAATATGAAAACCCTTCATTGCATTTAACAGATTTTGGGGCTATGACTGGTGCATTTTGACCAAAGATGCTGGGTCTGTGGATTACACGAGGGCTTAGCCCAAAAAGGTAGGGAGTGACTGACAATTATTTTCTGTAAAATAAACCAAAGCTTCCTAAAAATGCTACCTCTGTAGCGACCGCTGTGCAGTGGCGAGAGGGACTATGTGCCACAGGGCACCAGGGACTCGCCCAGCCCCACGGGCCATATGTCGACGGCTCCGGTCAAGCCGTAGCAAGTCTCTGCACAAGGGTGAGTTGCTTTGTGTGAATAAAACCTCCTCCTCCCGAATGGCCCACTGTTTTTCATACATCCTTCAGGTGCATCCTGTCAGATATTTCTAAATGCTGAGCGCTTAAAGAGATGCTGATCATATGCATTTGGCCTTCTGCCCACAGGATACCAGGCTAAAGGCAAAGATGACCTTTATCTGGAGGCCTTAGATAAAGTCTCACAGTTATTTAAAAATTCCTTTGTGTCTTCTGCCTTTGAAAGTATAACATTGCGTAGCGTCAAATGCATATTTAGTATCGGTAATGAGCCAGAAGAGCAGAAATGCTAAACAAAAATATGCATGCAGTTGAAAGAAGAACGGAGAGGTTGATTAGTATATGTTGAAGGAAAAGGCTTGAGGCTTGTCAATCCATCAGCCTTGCACGACCAGGAAGGTTGCCATCTTCTGCAAAAGTACGCCAAAAAGCCGATGAGCGGAGGAAGGACTCGATGTGGTTATGAACCTGGAGGTGGGAGTCTGACCCTCACTGTGGTCTGACATCCACTGACCTCTCGTTCCCCAGCAGCCCTGCCGTAAACACGGACCTAAAAATAGGGCTTGGAGGTGGCTGGATGCAGCGCTGGATGTGTGCTGTGGACACAGAAGTAGGATGTCCTAGGCAGGATATCCTGATAAAACAGCCACTTCACTTTGGGATAAACCTTTAACCTCTGGAGAGGGAGGGGACACAGTAACAGTCTGCCTTCTGCGAATCCATGGATGCTTTGCAAATACACGAGCACTGTTCTTTCCTCCAAGGATCAGCATCTGCTGCTGAAAGAGATGCACAAGAAGAAAACCTGGCATGATAAATAGCTCTTGCATCTTCCAAATCACTTTGCTCTCAGCTGAGACGAGAAGTATGGGGCTTCACAGGTACTCATTTGCTAGCAGGCTGTGTTTACGTGATGGATAAGCAAGCAGTAATGAAACCCGTAGATATGTCTATAAAGGCTGGTGCATAAACTGGTCTTGCCTTTGCCCTCCTGAGGATGTTGACCAACGGATTTAAGTAACTGCCCCTCCACTGACCACAGGACACTTCAGGTCAAGGATCCTCTTCTCCGTCCTCAACGCTGCTGTCGTGAAGCACCACTTCACGGCACGGGAGTGCACTCAGGTCCCCGTGATCAGCATCGCTGCCAGCACGGAGAAACCCCGGCAACTGCGCGGCCGGCAGAGCCGGTGGGCTCAGATACTGTGGGGAAGGATGCACGCTTGATCTCAGATCCCGAGCTGGCGACTTACTCTACAATTAAATGTTATAATAGCTTCCTTCTTTCATTTCTCTTCCACAGTTATGTTTCTGTTAATTTTGTGGGGTCATAGGACCAATTACAGAGAATAGATGAACAGAGCAAGAATAGTTCTATTTATACATTACCTACAAAAGAAAGGGAAAGATGCCAACAGCCCTATTGTCTTCGCAAGCCCTGGACCATAAGATGTGACACCGTATATCAAGTAAAACTGTTCAGCTGGAAATGAGGCAGCTCATAATAAGTTACACTACAATATATGCTTGCCAGTTTTTAGCAATTCAGAAAGAAGGTGGTCATGCTTAGCAGGCAGTAAAAGAACTAGAAATTATATATATATGCATATACATATATGGGAAAGGAATTAAAGGAGGCAAAAAGAAAAAAGCAATTGGGAATGATGCACATTATGGTTTTTTTTAAACAATGGTATTTTGGGAAAATCTCCACCTTAAACCATCATATTATTTCAGAAATAAAGTCCAAATCCTTAGCTTTAGCCTATAGCCTCGATAGTCTGAGGCTAACCAAACTTCCAAGAAAATGAAGGAAAATTACTACCTTCCAGTAACTTACACTGGCACAGTTTCAGTTTTCCTTTAGCGAGCACTTATTGGAAGATTTTTGCTTCTGTATTTTATAGTTTTTAGCAAGCAAATGGCAAGTGACTGTGGATAAAAGCAAAAGCAGCTCGACCGAAGGACACCGCCACCTAACACAACTCCTGAGCAAAAAGAAGGAAAGAAATCCGCGTCCGAGGTCTCTATCGCACAGCAGTTGGATCAAACGACGTCATCGCCTTCCCAGTTGTTTTAACGTCATTAGCTGTACACGTTTTGTGTGGTGAAGAGAAACAAAATACAGGATTTCCTGTTCTGCAGCCACTGTACTGGGCTGCAGATGCCGGCAGGATTCCAGCCCTCCGAAAACATGTGGAAGTTTAACGAGGAGTCGCTGGGGGTGGGATTGCTGCGAAAATCGGTGGGAAATAAAAGCAGAAAGCTCGCTCCTTCTGCTCTCTAGCATGGATGTCACCCCCCAGAAGGATGGCAGTCACGGGAAGGTAAGCTTGATTTCTGCTGCGTGTTTTCTTCAGTAGGTTGAAGCTATCGCAGTTTTGAGCAACGTTATCACTCTTTTTTTAGTTCTTCAAGAGATCTTATCAGGCAGAGGCTGGTGCAACATCCTCAGCAGCTTCTGAGTATGCCTACGTATTTCTGTCTCGCTCAGCTCCGAGGGGTGGGTGAGTGGAGCTCGGAGCATCCAAGCAGGCTGCCGTGTGCGGCAGCACACAGGGAAAGCCTGTTTTACCCAAAATACTTCCATTTTGTCATTACTGACAGAAGCTGCCATAACCCATCAGCTCTGTTTACGTGTTTCCTATTAGTGCCTAGATTAAACAAACAAAGTTATTGT